TGCTGGGCAGAAGCTGTACCAGCAGATCTGAAGAGACAGCCCCTGATCCAGAACATTCCCCACCTTACATAAGCCCTCAGTGAGTCCCTGGAACAAAGCTCTGGGAAAGAGGCAGCTGAGCAAATGCTAATGATCCCTTGTTTCTCTAGGGCACTGCTGTGTGCAGTGGGGTGATTCACTCAGAGCAGAGCACAGCTCCAGCAGTCCCACTGGGATCAGGTTTATCTGGGCAGCCTTCCATGGCCAGGGAGTATCGATTGCTGACGGGAACTCTCCTTCCTGCTCCAGTGCCTCTGGAGACCTCAGAGACAAAACCCTTTCTTTGCTAATCCCAGCCCAAGCTGTATCTTCACTTGGTATCTTCAGAACAATCTTTGCTCTGTGTGTGTTTGGCCTTTTCTTGTTGTCTGTAATTACCACCCCTGACAGTCACTCACCTGTTAGTTGCCAAGTTGAGCACAGAATTATGTGAATGGAAAGTATCTCCAGAGTTATCATGAAAATGGACAGTGAATGTCAGTGTCACACCCAGAGGCAGAGCCAGCAGGGCCTCCTTGTTCTGTGTGAGCAGGATGGGACTCATGGAGATCCTCAGGTATGAGATGGGGCACACCTGCAAACATATCAGCAGTGAGAAGCAATGTTAAATTGCTTTTTATGATGCCTCCATAAAAATAATCTAAAATCTTATTGTGCAAAGATACAAAGCTTTGTTTCTGAACCATGTTTAGCCATGTGCCAGTACAACACAGAGCTGTTTTATCAGTATTTATATTTCACAGGTTGAAAGGGGCCTCTGGAGACTGTCTAGTCCAGCTCCCCCAGCCTCCCTAGGAAGCTGTGTTCAACAGCCACCCCAGTAAGAAGTGCTGTCCTGTGACCAGTCAGAATTCCCTGTGGTCCATTCCCTGTGTTCCCCATGCCCTGTCCTTGAGCACAGCTCAGAAAAGCCTGGCCCTGTCTGCTTTACACCCTCACAGCAGATACTACTTAGCCTCTTTTTTTTTTTTAACACCACTGGGAACTGAAGCAATGATTATGTAAGAACACACATCACACACAGACATTACTATCCTGTAAATTCCAACTGTTAAGGTTCCCTGGATATGCAAGAGAGCCAGTGGCCCCTAGACCTCTCCCAGTAATTCTTGAAATAAAAGGTGCAATTCATTCCCCAGTTACTACAAGAGGAGAAACTCACAGTGGATGTGGGAGTAAGGGGGTGCAGTGGTCCCTGTTCCC